CCCCCCCCCCCCCCCACTCTTAACCCAAACCGTTTTCAGTCCCACACGATTTCCGCGAAATTCCATCATGCTGCATGCCAAAAAAATGTTTTCAGGAAGATTTGCTGGAGCGAGCTGCTCAGCTTGGCAGGAAACTTCGCGAAACTGCGGAGGGGCTGGAGGTTTTGAAGCACGAGGTATCGTTGCTTCGCGAGTCCATCCGGTGGGTCAGATGTCCTAGTCTGGGTCTCATTCCGCCTCTACCATTGTCTGTTACGGGTGTAGCCCTCGCGTCCGGCAACAACTCCGATAGAGCCAGTCGTGGCAGTGAAGGCGTGATCCCCATCTTGTAGGGGTTCCCTTCTTTCGTTCTGCCGTGCACGCCTTTAGCCTCTATGTCGAGAAGGGTATTTAAGTATGTTGTTTTGCAGCATCAGCAATAAGGCCTCGTTTACCGCAAACAGAGTTGCTGAGACGTTGTTTCCAGCAGCCATTGTTGCGTCTACCAAGTGTGTTGCTCCTACGGTGCCGGCGTGAAAGGGGGGTCCGGGAGGAAGGCTCTTCCTGCTGTAGAGTACCGTAGAAGGTGAAGAGATTTGAACTCCCCCGTAGACTGATAGCCCGATACATGTACGGAAAGCCCTCGACGAGATGTTTCGAAAACCACCGTTCTTGGTGTTAACACAAATCTTGGTTGTGGAGCAATCGACCTTTGAAAATCGCTCTAGGGGTGGGGGGTGGGGTGCCATCTCTCCGCCTCTTGTGGAATACCACGGTAATACGGTACGGTACAGACAATCTTGGTTGTGGAGCAATCGACCTTTGAAAATCGCTCTAGGGGTGAGGGGTGGGGTGCCATCTCTCCGCCTCTTGTGGAATACCACGGTAATTCGGTACTGTGCAGACAATCTTGGTTGTGGAGCAATCGACCTTTGATAATCGATCTGTGGGGTGGTGCCATCTGTCCGGCTCTCGCGTAGCAGGTCGTGGTGCTCGTGGGAGCGTCTACGAGATGCATTGCATCAGCGGTATTTCGCCCGCCCACTCCACCGACTTGAATATCTGCCTCTGCAACTCGCAAGCTATTACCCCCCTCATCTGCTCATTGTGTCCTCGCCCGATGCTTGTGCTTGTATCGTGGGCTGTTCAGGGAGAGCGATTTAGAGGGCAGGGCGAGAGCCATTGGGGAGCGACTGGCGTCCACATTGGAAGGAAAAACAACGAGTTAGCGATCCATCCATCACAGCCGTAGCTCCACTTTTAGTTTGGAGGCAGTGTGGCCAAAACGCTCACTCCTCCTGTATACTGATATTTGATGTTTACCTCTAGCACCACGGCGATTGTATTCGACCCTTGCATTCTCGACAGTTGTGGTTGGGTTCCTCAGTTTTTTCTCTGGTTGGTTTATTGTGTATTTGCGGCGAAGCACGCGAGGACGAGGGGGAAGGAAGGAGAGGGGTGTTGGACGTAGGTATAGCCACGATCGTTTTTTACGATGTTGTTGCTGATTCGAGCAGCATTTTCGAAGAAGTTCGCTTCCCGTTGTGTTGGTCATGCGCGACTCGTGAGTGCGTGAGACCGTTCGTCGTGCGCGAGTTGGACTTGTTTTTGCAGCTGCGTGTCGATTGATGTCTGTCTCCAGTCACCCGCCCGATTCGACGTGCGGTAGGTGCCATATTACAGCAAGACGCGAGTAGTACAGACGCGGTCCTGCAGTTGTTACAGCTAGTTTCTTACTTAACATTTTTTTGTTTTTAGAGGCAGCCGGCCTAAGTTGCTCGGCCCCACCCGCGCGCATCGCACCATGACGGTGTGGGAATAAGTGTGATGATCTTCAAGCTTGTTCAACCAGCAGCAAGGGAATATGCACGACCATGTGCGCTATTAATTTGTGCAGAAGCAAACAATCTTCACAATTAAAAAAATACAATTTTTTGTGCACGGGTCTACCATGCGCATGCTGGCGCAGGAATTCCGTCATGGAAGGCATATCAGAGTCAGTCACGATTTTTTGCTTTCTTTGTGGGTGACAATCTGGCTGTGTAGGTCCTGATAGTCGTAGAACTCGGCCTTCTTCCCGCGTTCTCGAACGTGCCCGTGCTTTGAACGACCCCTCCATGGTTTCTCGCGAATGAACTGCTGTCGCAAGAGCCGCTGATCCTCAAATTGTCGAGAGGGAGAGGCAACCAGGGCTTCAAACCTCGTGGTGCCACGTTGGGGTGATTGCCAACTTCAGTAGAGCGCACAAGACCCCGGGGTTCCTTTCGTCCCGATGATATCACGGTACCGTTCATTTCTTTTCTCTTCGTACCAAGTATGAAAGGTTTTCATGCTCTTCATCCAGCATTTTTTTTTTTGTTCCTGGCCTTTCGGCCTTGCCTCTCAACCCTTCTCCGAAGCCCTGACTACGTAGCCTTATCCTTCCTACTTAGACTAGTGCTTCTTTCTTCTCGGAAGGCAGCCGGTTTATCTCGAAACGTTGTCGACTGGGATGAGTACAGCCCTCCCTACACTCCTCCCATCACATCACGCCACACTGCCTATCTAACTCTCGAGTCTTGGACTACAGCAGTCTACACATGTTACCGCCATCATGACCACCAAAAATAGTGCTCACCAATTGGTGCAATGAATGGTCCGGAGTCGGGATAATCTCCACCTCCCCGAGATATGCATATACATGTGCTTTCTGCAGGTGTCGCGTGTTCTCCCGAGTCATAGTAAGTCGAGTGTAAGAATAAAACATATGGATATACCCTAGTCTTACCTCAAATGCCCCACCCTGCGTGTTCTGACGGGAGATCTGCGAACAAGGAAACGAACTTGTCTACAACACACGGCGCTATTTACATCCCGAAAGCTCCGTCGATGGGAGCTAACCCTTCCGAGACACGAGAAAACGCCAAACGCGAATACTACTGCTGTATGGCCCGCTGTGCTGTACTCAAGCGACGTCTGACATTCTGAACCGAGCCTCACCGGACCGAAGACCACGATGTAGTTTGTGCATTTGAGGCGCGACAACTCGCGGGAGCATGTCCCACCCTTCAACCAACATGCCCACACGATGTTTGTCCGTGCCAGGCACGTGCAACAAACCGTGCGCAAATCACGGTTCCTTTTGGTTGGTGTGCTCTCTGTCTCCTCTCTCTCTGCTCAGCGGTGTGCGACGATAGCAGTGGATGGAGTTCGTGTGTGGATTGGGTACATGGGCACGTGCCTTGTATGCGAGTCTCTTTCTTATGAAAAACATGTCCACCTCCTTTAGTCTATCCACATCTATCTCCAAAGGAGCTTATCGTCCGTGGTTGGCAGAAAAAAGAGTCCAGGAAAAAATGAACCTGCCATGGTCAAATCCGCACTACTCTCCGAAGCTAAACATGAGATGCATCTGTCGTTAGTCTGATCGGTAAGAGTGTGCATCAACGGTAAATTGTTTTACCCGTAATGAGAGTTCTTTGGATCTTTCGTTTGCATAGTCTACATATTCAAATCTGGATTTGTACCTGCGAAGCCAATCAATGTGAGACCCTCTGCTCTGGGTGAGCGGAGAGTACGGAGTATGTGGTGGCTATGACCTGCCACCGCAGGCTGGTCATCTCCTTTGGTGCGATGTGGCGAGGAACGTCAAGCGTGACCGAGCGAACTCAGTCATGCTAGTCGTGCGGAGATTGGGCGAGCCTTCGTGGACCTATTTTTCCCAGCCTCCCAAAGATTCATCAATTTTTCGCAGCTATTTGGGAAGAAATCAGAAGAGTAACGAACCCTTGGGAAGAACAGTGATCTATTCTATTATCATCACATATCCCTCAGACCCTACTCTTTGTGTACGTGTGTCGTTCTTCCTGAATCTCCGGATCCTGACATCCACATTCCCGGGATTCGAAAGTTTCAAAACCCACACCCTCAGCCCCTCTCCTCGCGATGGCCACATGATCCCACTCTTCTTTTCTCCACCCCCTCTATCTCTGCCCTCTTCTATCGGATTCACTCCTCATTATTATTATTACAACATGAAGCTGTCTCCGAAACATCCATCCATCATGCCTCATCACCACCTCTTCGGCGATTTCTTTTATTCAGGGCTGCTCACAGGTGGGTTTGTTGTGCTATGTACCACCGCAGTAGATCTGCATTTATTTGCTCATCTATCAGTGGTTGTCGGCATCCAGCCATCTTCTCGCGAAGCCACACATACATGCATCCACGTAATTTGTGTGGTGTGCATGTAGCCACAGCTGTAGGCGTGTGTCTCTGAAACATGAAACCCTATCACCAGCCGACTTCCACTGTGGTGCTGCTATAGACGGCAGCATTTGGCCTTTGAATCGCTCACTGCGGTGGTTGCGTGAAGCGTCTGTCAGAAAAGCTGGAATTCTACTCGTCGTTTGATATGCATGCATGATGTGTGGACTAGTCTAGATACCGAGCGGAGAGAGGATAGATGATGATGAAGAGATGGTGATGGTTGCTTCTTTTGTATGTTGCACCACACGACACACGGACGCCGTGCACTTTGTAAGCACAGCGTTAATCAGGAGTGTCAGACAATAACAGCGTCCTCCGACCAACCTAAACTTCTGCACGTTGTTCTTCACTTCGTTCGGCGGTTGCCGCCAAAATCTGACCTTCTTCTCTTCCACAGATGATGATATCTCTGGCGCAGTCCAGCAAGTGAGTGGTAAGCAGCTTTCATCGTGCAATCAAGACAAGGAGGGTGATGATGATGGTTGTTGGTGGTGCTCGGTACGGTATGTAGAGCCAGACACCATAGGCAAGTAAACGAAAGGTATTTCTTGTTAGCGTGTTCTTCATCGAGTTGCTACATTACATACATGCCTGCCAGGTGGATATGTGTGGTGTACATTCAAATGTTCTTGGACTGGCTGGCGGGGCTGTGTTTAGTCGATGATTTGCGCTCAATTTTGGGCGGTGGCCAGTGGCCAGTTCAATCTGTGAGGTGTGCTTTGCTGTTGTCTGCTTCAACCTGCCTCTTACCCTTCTCCACCGCGCACACGCAGCGGTTGCAGCAGCAGTAACAGAGAGGCCTGAGGTGATGCAGACTCAAAACTCAAGTCTCCGACGTCCCCGAAGAAGTTTCTGAGGTCTCCGAAATCTCCGAAATCTTTCTCACGACACGGGAGTTATACATCATCGGGAATAGAGTGTACTCATACGGGGAGGGGGATGAAACATCCCTAACCCCGCTGAATTGCGTGTTTTGGCAACCCTCACGACGTCCAGCTGGCTTGCGTGCAGCACTCTCGCTCTAACAGCACCCACAGCGCACAAAGCTCCATCCACACCTCGCCGACCTCCACCAAAAATATGGCTCGCACGAAGCAGGTAAGATTTGTAGAGCGTGAAAGCGTGGTTTCCCCCGTCCTATCTCAAGTGTCGGCGTCGAGAGGGCGTCGTTGGTAATTTCGGCTCTTGCCACTTGTCCGCGCGGGTACCGAGACGAGACCTACTGCCGCGCCGACGAAAACATCGAAGGCATGTCGGCGGCCGGGCTCGTGGCACCCGCCGGGCATGGGCGAACTCGGGCGGCGTCGGTGTGTGTTTTGAGAATATGCAGCTGTGTTGGCTGAGGTATTTACCGAACGTGTTGTTCATTTTGTCGGTTAGGTGTCCGCCGGTTTCCGGTTGCCGTGGTGCGGGTTTGTTCGTCATCCGTCTGCTGTGTCTCGCTGTCTCCCTCTATTCTGGGTTTTGTCAACACAAAGAAGTTGGGTCCAAGTCTGTCTCTCTTCCAGGCGTGTCGTGCCTGCACTCCCCGACCCATCAACCCTTTTGCTTGGAGTAGACTGCCAGGGCGTGATGAGGGTAGCCAGCACGCGCATTTTGTTTTATTTTCTGTGTGGTCCGTTTTTCGGGGGGCTGGGAGTTTTCCCATCCCACAGAGCACATCATATTTCACGGTTTTCTTGATTTTTTTTTTTTTCCGTGGGGATGGATGGAGGGATAACGTGGTGGAAACAGGCGAATTAGCATCTAGGAGCTCAAAGTCGAGCCATGCTGTTATCTTTTTTCGATGATGTACAGAATCCTGCTTGTATTCCCGTGAGGCCTCGAAATGGCCACTGCTGTATGTTGTAATCAAATTTTAAGTATCCCCTCTCGGTATGCGTCGACTTCCCAGAAGGCGTTCGCTCAAAAACCGGGAGTAACGGGGACGTAGTAATGGGGTCGGCGCCTCAGCCAGGACAGCGATGAAAGAAGAGTCTCGGGACGTTCGTTCGCGGAACGTGTGCAGTAGGATCCACTGCACATTTGTTACAACCAGCAACAGAACGCAGCATACCTTGTACAACAGCGGTACACACCTCGGGAGAAAATACAACACGTTCGGTGATTGGTTCATTGGCCACACACACAACCAGCGAGCAAACTATGTATTCACAGAGAGACGGAGAGAAAGAGAGCAAACCCTGTTTGTTTGCTCCCGCGCGTTATATGTCGGTTGTGGTTGTTGTCCGTAGGGTATCTACGCATACGCTTATCGGTGCTTGCCGGATTTTTTACTCTGCCGACGGTGTGTGCCCGCGCGTACGTTACGCCCGCTCCGGAAGGACCTGATTTGCCTTGATTTTGTACTTGCTCGATCATGTAATGACATTTTTCTCACCACGGTCTTTGGTAAATGATGCGATGGGCGCCGTTCCGGATAACGTTCCGGGGAATGTTCCGAGATTATTTGGCGTGCGGTGACGTGCATGTGACTTTCGGCCCCGAAACTGGCCGACAATGCGGATCACATTTTAGACAAATGTAGGTGTAAAAAATACACAACGCAGCAGTTGTGGGTGAAAACGGATTAAGTATCAAAGTCGGTGGTGTTCCCACCGGACTGCTGTCGGACGAAATC